GCGGGCGGCGAGTCCCCGTCGCCCGTGTCGGCCGGGTCCCCGCCGTCCTCCTTCGCCTCGTCCGACGAGGAGCTGGAGGAAGAGCTGCTGGGCGTGCTGCCCGGGCGGGCCCCGCCGAGCGCCGCCCTGGACTGGGCCGTGGTCGACAAGGACCTTGACCTCTTGCCCCGGGGAATCCCCTCGCACTTTGAGTTCCCGGACTACTGCACTCCGGAGGTGCGGGAGATGATCGCGGGGGACTGGCTCATGTCCAGCATCTCGGACTTGGTCTTCACGTACTGAGGCCCGCGCCTCGGCAGGTAACTCTTTTCCGCAATCAGGTCTGTTCAGAAACAAAAAGAAACCAGCTGTTTACATGCAGGAATCAGGTATCTCGCCTTGAACGCAGCCGAAGGCTGCCCCATCCCCCCCGCACACACCCACCGCTCCCCGCGCCACGGGGCCTGGTGCCGCCCCGTGGCTCCCGAGCCGCCGGGGACGCCGGGGCTCGACACCGCGGTGATTTTGCCATGAAATTTGACTGTCTAATCAGGTTTTCATTGTCGAGCGCCCCCTCCCCCCACCCTGGCTACAGCTGCTGCTCAGCTCCGCCGCCATCCATCTCTCCATCCATCCGTCCATCCGTCATCTCCGCCGCCGCGGAGAGGCCCCCACCCCTGCATCCCGCTTCTGCCCCATCTTGTCCTTGCTGCCCTCGCCACTGTCCCCTTCCCCGTGAACTGGCAGGCGCGCTCCCCCCAGCAGCCCCCCGCCCGCTCGCGGCTCTCTGCATGCCTGGGAATCACCACTTCCCTTTGCTTCCATTTTTAGCGCGTTTTCCAGCCTGGCTTCCCTGTGCTCCGGCGCCCTTGAGCAGCCCCAGAGACAGGATCCCGGCCCCGGCACGGCGCGCCCGGGTGCACGGGGCCGTGGCGAGCCCCTGGCTCCCCCGCCTTTCCAGCCGACACCCAGGCGTGCAAGGTGCCAGCCCCGGGGGCCGCGGCGCCTTCCCGGCGCGCTGGCAGAGGCGCCTGCTCCCCGCTCCCCACTTTGGGGAAGAGCGAAGTTGGCCGCACGTGGTTTGCACGTGGATCCGGGAGGCTGCCTTACTCCTCTCTCCAGATGCTCGCGCAGGCGGCTGCGCAGCGCGGGGAGCCCGTGCTGGGAAGGACCCGTCTCCCTGCCGAGGTGAGCGGGGAGCCCCAGGCCGGCGGGCTGAGGGGCAGGGAGCTGCTCCCTTCGGCACGGCGCCCCGGCTTTAGCAGCACGAGGGTCCGCGGCCCTCCGGCCCGGCAGCCCTGAGCCGCGAGAGGCAGCGGTGCTCCGGCTGGCGGGACTGGTGCGGCACATGCCGTGTGCAGGGCGAGGCTGCTTTGCTGCGTGATCCAGGGCTGAGCTGGCCCGCAGACGGCGCCCGAAAGGGGCAGCAGCAAAGCTGGGCGCCGGGGAGACCGCGTCTCCGGGGAAGGTCCGGCCCTGCTGTCCTGGGCCGAGGGCACCGGTCCCCAGGGCAGCCGGGCAGCGGCTCGCGGGTCCGCCGGCGCGTGGAGCTGGGATTCTCCGTGCCTGAGCTAATGGCTCCTGCCTCCAGCGCAGACGCCTCCTCCCGCCGCCCGCGAGCATATGGCTGCGCTGCCAGGTGCGGCTTAAAGTCGCGGTGCCGTGCTGCAGAGGGACGGGACCCCCGCCCAGGCCGGGCCGCGCTTTGCACCCGGACCACGAGGGTTCAGGCAGGCTCTGGGGCTGGCCGGGGGTCCCGATGCCTGGCAGCTCCGTGCTCTGTCGGGCTCGTCCCCTGCCCCGAGAGACGTTCAGCCCCCAGCCCAGCCCAGCCCAGCCCAGCCCAGCCCAGCCCGGGGAGGCAGATGCAGCCGCTCCGCTTCCTCCGTGGCTCTGCCCTGGGCTCCCGGGCTCTCGGGGTGTTTCTCAGGCTGCCCAGCAAAGAGCAGGCCCCACCGTGCCCCGTGGCAGGGGTGGGGACCGCCACCGGTCCGGTGTGGCGGGGCAGGAGCTCCAGGCCTCGCCTGGGGTGGGGGGCATCCAGGATGTCCCTCCCCAAAGATGCTGCCTGCCTTCCAGCTCCACCGCGGGCCCCTCGGGGACCCTGCCCGGAGCCTCCCGGTCCCTGCCACACCCACCCCGGCTCAACCTTACGCGCTCCCAAGCATCCCACCCCGCCGGAGAGCAAGGCCCGGCCGCGGCCCCGTGGGTCACCCCGTCCTAGGAAAGGCCTCCAGCCCAGAGGCTCTCCAGCACCCGCAGCCCCCGCCCCACCCATGCCCAGACGGACGCCTGCGCCGGGCCCGGCGGTGACTTTGCTCTGCCCGTCCTGCCCTGCTCCCCACAGCGCCCTCGGCCCACACGGCTCTGACCCAGAGGTGCCTACATCCGTCCCGGGGCTGCCTGCAGGCCCCAGCAGCGCTGGCCTGGCTCTGCTCCAGCCAGCCGGCACCCACGGGTCCCCGGCTGCTCCCACGGCAGCAGTTGGAAAGAAAGCAATGCACCTCCCCAAAGGCAGCCGGCTCCCTGCGGGGCAGGGGGGAGGCAGAGCAGACGGGGCAGGGGGCCTGCCGGGGGACATTGCAGGGCCCCGACCCCTTCACCACCCCCTCCCCACCCCATGGGCTCAGGACCACTGGATGGGGGGTGGGGGCAGAGGCCGCGTGGATGGGGCCCATGGAGGGCTGGGCCTGAGCATCCTCTGCTCCGAGCCCCTCCTGCAAGGGCGGAGGGTGGGCAGCGCAGGGGGGATGCGCCCTCCCTGCTGCCTGGGTGGGTTTCATTGGCCGGGTCCCCTCCCCCAGCCCCGGCGCTGGAAGCCCTGAGCCCGGCTGGGTCCCAGCGCTTGCCGCCTTCCCAGCCCAGCCCCCTCCCCCTTTGTCCCTGCTCTGCTGCAGGGCTGAGCTCGGGGGTCCCCCGCCAGGACGGAGCCGGGCGCCCCTCTCCCGGGGCAGCACCGGAGCGGAGAGGGTCCCCCCTCCCCACGGCACCTGCCGGGAGCCGGGGGGCCCGGGCCCCCCAAGGGCAAGGCTCTGCATGGAGGACCCAGCCGGGCTGGGTGCAGGGACTCTGGGGACCGCCAGGCAGCGGGAAGCACCCACCCTCCACCCCCTTCCTCCCGACTTGAAGCACAAACCTCACTGGCTTCCTCCCCCCAGCCCCCACCCCGCTCTAGGCATCTCCATTTTCGTTTGTAAGGGGAGACCAAGTTGTGAACAATGGTGAACTACTGTGACATGTGGTTATCGTGCTGTAGAGACCCCCTAGGCGCCCTGGCTTGTCTCTGCCCCCCGCCCCCCGCT